AGTGGTAGCGCACAAAATGAAAGCCATGGGCATTACGGGGAAGGTAAGCAGATGGATTTTCGGTTTCCTAACACACACAACACAAAAATTAGTAGTGAACAGGGCAAGAACCAGCATCAGCGAGGTCAAAAGCTCAGTGCCCCAAGGCACTGTCCTGGCACCTCTGCTGTTTCTCAACCTCATAGCAGGCATAGACAAAAACACTCGGCACACTTTTGTATCATCATTTGCAGATGACACTAAAATAAGCATGAAAGTCACTACGGTAGAGGACACTGAAAAAGTACAGGAAGACAAACAGGGTTTTCCAGTGGGCAGTGGAGAACAACATGACGTTCAATGGTGATAAGTTCCAGCTTCTTAGGTATGGAAAGAATAAAGAACTCAAAAGGAACACTACATACAAAACTCAAGAGGGTCACCAAATAGAATGTAAGGAACACGTAAAAGACCTGGGAATAATTATGTCAGATGACCTTTCTTTTAAAGACCACAACAAGACAAAGATTACAACAGCCAGGAAGATGACGGGGTGGGTATTGAGAACTTTCAAAACAAGGGAAATAATGCCGATGGTGACACTCTTCAAATCGCTAGTGCTCCCTCACTTAGAATATTGCTCAGTGCTGACAGCCCCATTCAAAGCAGGAGAAATATCTGAACTGGAGCAAATACAAAGATTGTTTACGGCTCACATTGCGCCTGTAAACCACCTAAACTACTGGGAACGCCTGCAAGTCTTCAACATGTATTCATTGGAGCGGAGGAGAGAGAGAGAGGTACATGATAATATATACCTGGAAAATACTCGAGGGCTGGTCCCAAATCTGCACATTGCCATAACAGCATACTGGAGTGAGAGATATGGGAGGAAGTGTAAAATAAACCCAGTGAGGAGCAGGGGTGCAGTGGGGACAATAAGGGAACACTGTATCAACATCTGGGGGTCCCAGACTTTTCAACATCTTACCAGAAGATATCAGAAACATGGCTGGAACAAGTGTAGAAGCCTTCAAGAGGAAACTGGACAAGTATCTTCACCAGGTGCCAGATCGACCAGGCTGTGATGGATATGTGGGGCAGCGAGCCTCCAGCAGCAACAGCCTGGTTGACCAGGCAAGTGTCGTAGGGGTTCTTAAGGAGATATGATGGATAAGGTAAACTCACTTGTTGGATGGTAACGATATGCATGTATATTGTCAGACTGTGATGAGAGGTGGGAGCCCAGGCCTGCCTGTGTTACTGCCTGGATATCTAAACGCCGAGTGAGAGCGAGGCAGCTCGTCTCACTGCCTCAAGCTGTACCCTGTGACGTCATACAGTCACAGGCCTAGGGAGCTTCTATATAAAGTGCATGGATGGTACTATGATACTCAGCTAATCTATACAACACATATAAGGGGATCAACAACTATGCTGACAGCTCGGTCAAGTTACGTATGTCGTCTCCACATACACTACTATACTATAGGCTGAACAGGCAGGTGGTTCTGGGCTGATTTTATACAATAACAAATTCATATATATATAACTTAGAACTAATGGATGTTAACATAATGAGTTTTACGTAATGGATGTTAACGTAATGCATTACGACTTCTAAGAACAAATCATTGTACAATATGGATGGAATTGAAATCATTGTACAATATGGATGGAATTGATCGATCGAACTGTATTCATGCACTCTACGGATTCTGAGGAAGAATAAATATATATATATATACAAGGTGAAATTAACAGCAAAGGCATCTGGTGCACTCAGATCATTACTGTCAAATTCTCAGAATACGGAGGGAACGTGAACACGAAAAAAAAATTTTTTTTAAAAACTGATCAGTTAATAACAAAACACACAGTGAAAAATTAAATAAACTGGCAAGAATACACAAATGCTGTGATAAAAAATATAACAGACAACACTGAGTTGTGATGCAGAATATAAGGTAATAAATTACTGAATTACTCCACTGGAATACTGAGAACACAAGGTGATTGTGAAGTGTAAACACAGGTTCTATACTTCTTATATGTTGCACACAACAAGGAAAAAACACTAAGGTACTTACTTCAAGTATATAAAAAAAGAAGCACAACACAACAGATATTAAATTATGCACGAAAATTAACACTGAATTAAGAAGATAAAAAAATATTGCAAACAATATATATAATAAACACTGAGTCTAATCAAGAGTTACTGAATGTCACTAAGAAATCACTGGAAACACAAAAAGAAATGCCTCAACACTTGCAAATGTCTCTATGAAAAATATTATCACTGTAACGACTTGGTGAAGAATTAGGTAGATGGTGGTGGAGGATGTTTATGACGTCTTGCGGCTGGCTACTGTCCACGTGTGATCGTAGAATTTTGCGCTTAAATCGACAATAGACTCACACAGGAGGTTTTCAACGGTGGCGCCACAGACGAAGACACACTCTAGCTCTTGACCCCCTATGTGGTCCTTAAATTATGGTACTAGGAGACGTAGTAAGACTACAAACAGTGGTAGTGGTTGGGTGAGTGGGCTGAGGCAGGGCTGAGGCCGCGGTGGTGAGACCGCGTTGTACCTGGACCTATGGGATGAACGGCGTAAGCCTCACTGTGGGACACCCTCACTGGCGCGGAAATACTAAGCCGGCTGGCTTAAAACAAACCCACGAAATACCACAACACCACAGGGATGAAAAAGCACTCAGAATGGCTTGGAGCTTGAAGCACAAGCGATGAAGACTGTACCCACATGGTTTGCTCGAGTACTGGGTTAGTTGCTGGCTGGCTTGACTTATCTTAACCCTTCACACAGAATGGTTTGATAACTTCTAATGATGAGCACAGCAGGGGTGGAAAGCTGGCTTGGCAGGCAAAGGCTGGATGGAGTAGGCTAGGCTGACTGACTCCCTCACCACAGACTGTCTACTGGCTTATTTTGCAAACTCGGGTCAACCCCTCGGGAGTGATGCAAATAAGCAGATAAACACTAACAAAGAGACTGACCAGTGAATAATGTAGAGGCTGGTAGATGCTTGCGGGGGTAGCTGGCTGGCTGGGTCGGCCTAGCGTCAGGAGATGGCGACCGGCTCGGTAGAAATTTATCTACAGAAATCGCTGTAATCGTCAGAATTACAGGCCCTCCTCTGGCACCAATTTGTCGTAGGGGTTCTTAAGGAGATATGATGGATAAGGTAAACTCACTTGTTGGATGGTAACGATATATATTGTCAGACTGTGATGAGAGGTGGGAGCCCAGGCCTGCCTGTGTTACTGCCTGGATGTCTAAACGCCGAGTGAGAGCGAGGCAGCTCGTCTCACTGCCTCAAGCTGTACCCCGTGACGTCATACAGTCACAGGCCTAGGGAGCTTCTATATAAAGCACATGGATGGTACTATGATACTCAGCTAATCTATACAACACATATAAGGGGATCAGCAGCTATGCTGACACAAGCACCAGTCGAGCCTGGCCCATGGCCGGGCTCAGAGAGTAGATAAACTCTCAAAACTCTTCAAAGGTATATCAAAGGTACAATATTCTCATTTGTAATCTCCCAGTATGTAAATACTGTTCTTTTACTCTGCTGATCTTCACTATGATTATCTTAAGACTGCCTTAATATTGCAGACAGTGCATTTTTCACTATGTGATGTGATTAAGTCAAATTGCATGATAATGAATGATAAGGCAAGAATCATTGTATCCAAAGTGTGAATTCATCTGAGGAGTGTGGTAGCCAGGCAAAGTTTAGTACTCTTGAGCTATATCTGCTATCAGAGCCATTAGTCAGTGATAAAGGATCGAGAGATTATATTAGCAAGTTACGTGTCATGCTGTATGTTGGTGATCTCAGTTGTTGTTATTAGGAATTCCTGATATGTGGGTGTAATATTTTGAAGTCTTATTACTATATATCATTTCATATGTACAGTGTTTTGATTACACATAAGTACAGTACTTAAGCATGACACGTAACTTGCTAATATAATCTCTCGATCCTTTATCACTGACTAATGTTCACACTAACACACAGATAAGTGTTGCATATCAGAAAGAAAGGATATATAAACTTACCAATAATATTTGACTTACAGGCATGGTAACTTCAGGTAATAAATGATGATGTTGGATATTAGTGGGAAGGAATGGAGGGGGGCCAAATTATTTGCCTCCTCATTTGTGCAGTCAGCTTGGAAGGAAAGCTGTTGTGGGAATATTGTTGCTTTATAGAAGGCCTTTGTTTGATCCTGGCTATAGAGGAACTAATTTTAGAATTTATTTTTAAATGAATTTTTATAGACTATCGAAGGTTTTCTTCTGTAGCACCCTGGAGGTCACTGTTGACCTTGCTACTGATGCAAAATCTGTATCTTGGCATGGATATTTTTTCTAATGATCTACAACATGTTTTAATAAGATTGAGAGTTTCCATAATTAATTATGGGCAAGCATTTTAGTAGGTTTCCTTCTCATCCATCCCCAGTACAGTTCATTGTCCTACATATTTAGATCTTCTCACTAAAAATAAGCCCTTCCAAAAGGCTCCAGCATCTCCAAAAGGCTCCAGCAACTGTCTTGAGTGTCAACATACTTGGCAAGGCTCTCAATCCTTCATCTGATATTATAAACTATCTCTTGCTAACTGTTGAAGTTGTTGAGGCATTCAAGCTAAAAAAATTTCATTCATTGTACAGTACCTTCCACAAGTTCTTTCCAAGAATGGTGACTATTAGCAGTGGCAAAAATTATATAGTTTTAATTCAGCAGTTTTCACTCACTAAATTTTATTATCTGTATTTGATATTTGATTACTGGTGTACATATCGCTCTTTCTGGTCACTGAAGATTCAAAATTTTATCCTGCCCAAAATAGTTTTTCTACCTTTGTTTTCCCTATGTTTTCATACCAGACTCGTTTTTTTTTATTAGACCCTCTCAGCTCATTGATTGTCTGGTGACATTATCATTTCTGTGAAAGTACTGATGTCTTGTATTTTGCAGGTTCTGGTATCTGAGCTTGGTGGGATGTATGAGAAACTCCTCGTGTGAGTGGCAGCACGTAGCCACACCTCTGCATGTGGAATATGACTTAAACATTGTAAATGGCAAGCCTAATGCTGCTGACCATAATCCCTTTGAATATCATTTTTCATTTGATAAACAGGTAGGTTTCTTCACATTCAGTATTTTTTACTTGTATGGAGGGGTTGCATTTGTGTACATGAATGGTATACAATATCTACCAACAAGATAAAAATTAGACACATCAATATTTGGGTGTCTTTATTGTAGACAATTTGCCAATTAGTGGCTTTATCAATACAAATTCAAGAACATAAATGGAAGACAGTAGAGTTGTATACAAAAAGATGAGGTGATCTGTCCCTCAGCCTTGGTGTTGGTGAAGAGCATCATGGTCATGAATCTTCACGACTACAGTGCTCTTCACCAACACCAAGGCTGAGGGACTGATTACCTTATCTTTTTGTACATAATTCTACTGTCATCCATTTATGTTACTGAATTTGTACAGCCTCTCCTCACTTAGCAACGTACTCGTTTACCAACGCCTTGGACTTGTGACGGGCTCTCTGACCAGTATTCATGCCAAAATAATATATATTAGAGCTGATTTCCTCTATTATGTTTATTACAATATACAGTGGTACCCCGAGTTTTATACATCTCCCAGCTCGAACAATTATGTAAGTGTATTATTGTAAGTGTATTTTTGGGATCTGAAATGGACTAATCTAATATACATCATTCCTTATGGGAACAAATTTGTTCAATAACGGTACTCGAACAGCCTTCTGGAACGAATTATGGCCGAAACTCTGGGTATCACTGTACAGTACACTACTGTATAGACATTTAAAAATATACCAGAAATGTTATAAATGGTGCAAATGTGACATTAAACCAGTATCAAAGATAGCTGACACAAACCCACTTCCATTATGGTGTTCTCCTCACTTAGCGACGAATTCGTTTACCGACGTTGTCTGAGGAACGGAACTCTGTCGTTAAGTGGGGAAAGGCTGTATTGATAAAGCCACTGGTTGGCAAAACGTCTGCAATAAAGATTCCGAAATGTTACACATGATGTAGACTGACATCTTTGACCCTTAGCATAATATAATAATTTAATTTCTCTGTATATAGTATATATGTATATAGGTCAGTATATGTTTTACAGGATACAGTTGAGATCTACCTTGTGTGTGTGCTTTTCTACGGCTGTGTATTGGTCCCACTGCAAGTTTATGCAGCATGTCGCCAGGTGAGATATTTTGTATCAAGAATGTAGTTCTATAATTAAGTGAGCAGGCTTGTAAAAAAAAAGAATTCTTAAATCAGAGCACTATTTTTAATAATTTTGATGTCATACCCTCTGTCTAAATGTTGGTAGTTTCATGGACCTCTTGAAGTGAGATTGGATGTCCTAGTTGAGTCTGGTCAGTCAGGCTGTTGGCACTTGTAGTACACATAATCTGACTTAAGCACTGAACTCAGCTGACCAGGAGTTCTTTGGAGAAACTTATCCAGTTCTCTCGTAAGGACAGCTAACAATTTATTGGTAAATACGTACTATGACTTTCTATGCTTGTTGTTTTACGATTTTGTGTACGTATTGCACCCCTGCATTTAATGGGAACAGGGACGTGGGGTGTTTTTCTTCCCCTTCTCATACCATTTAACCAAATACTGATGATTTTTAACAAATATAGGTAGTTTCATATATTGTTTTTCTTTTTCAGATCCATCCTATCACTCGTCTGTTTACAGCAACCCTAGTAATGCAGTTGGCAGGGCTCTTGTTTGACACACTGCATCTGCTGGTGTTTTCATTTGATGGAGAGGGAAGTGAGGGAGTGAACATTATAGGGGATCTCTTTAATTTATTGGCTCAGGTAATTTTCATTTTATTTCTCCTGATGACTGACAACATAGTTTCTATGAAGCTTTTGAAATACATGTACTGTTTCTGGAAATGTTAGTGTGATAGCCTTATTAACCCTTAACCCTTTCAGGGTCCGTCCCGTAGATCTACGGCTTTACGTTCAGGGTCCAAACCGTAGATCTACGCCATGAGCTCAGCTCACTCTGATAAACTGTGAGTGGTACATTTGGGCCTAGATATGAGAGAATACATCTATGTGGTATGTGTGCACCACATAAAACAGATCCTGCAGCACACTGTGTATAATGAGAGAAAAAAAATGAAATCATGATTTTTCGATTAAAACAGCAACTTTGCAGTGTTTTTTCGTATGTTTTTTATAGTTGTATTTGCGATTTCTTGGTCTCATTTGATAGAATGGAAGACATATTACAGAAATAGAGATGATTTTGATTGGTTTTAGCACGGGAAATGGCTTGAAACTAAGCTCAAAGTAGCAGAAATGTTAAATTTTTGCCGATATTCAAGAGTAAACAAACGACCTCACACGTCTAATACACGTCAGCTGGTGGGTCTAATATACATTCACAAATATGGTGATGATATTTATACAATTATTACAGTATTGCATAACAGTAAATCTTCTATTTTTTGGTGTGAATAAAAATTCATTATGTGAATAAAAAATCAAAATGGAATTTATTTGTAAAGCCTCAAAACATAACTAATGAACAGAGGAAATGTTAGTTTAGTGCCAGGAATGCCTACATTGTTCATTCTGGACCCTATTTTGAAATTGGAATATTTTGAACTTTGTGTTAAATTGGCCAAATTAACAATTTCCGATCACTTTATTTTGTAGTTGAAACAGTTGACTTGGCGATTTCTTGTGCTCAATCGATAGAATAGAAGTAATGCTAGTGAAATAGCTAAGAATTTGGTTGATTGGAATAATGTAATTGGCCTAAAATGGGAGTCAAAGTCGGCAAAATCGCCGATTCGTAAATATCGCTGACACATCAAAATTCGCGAGAGCATAATTTCGTCAATTTTCCACCAAATTTCGTACTTTTTGTTTTATTACCTTCACAAAAAGATTCTCTACGATTTCATAAGAAAAAATAACAATTTTTTTTTTTTTAAATTCTTGGACACTGGTGCGTGACTCCAGATTTGGACCTTGGACCCTGAAAGGGTTAAACTGTCCAAACGTAGATCTACGTTTTTTCAACATTTGAAAGTATGTAAAAAAAACGTAGATCTTTTGTTTTTCACATTTGAAAGCCTGTAAAAAACTTTGATCTACTTTTTTTTTTTATATTTGAAAATATGTAAAAAAAACGTAGATCTACTTTTGGAGCACTACACATGTGAACGTAGATCTATATTTAGACAGTTTAAGGGTTAAGTATCCCTGTTCTTTGAGCAGTAGTCAAAAGATTGCAAAGAGACAAAGTGTCTTGGGACTGCCTCACAACATTCTGTTATTTATGTTACAGTAGCATTGGGCTGTTGACAAGAAAAATGTATTGTATACTTTAAGTGTAAGAAGTGTTCCTTTAGTTAGTACAGTTTTCATCATTAACTGTAAACCAAAATACAAAATATAGTAGTTTCACAGCTGTGTACTATATGTCAGAAACCAATAAAATCATACTGACCCTTTCCAGTTATACCCTGCCCTGTGGAAATTGCTGTGTTCTCACCTAGTTTTTTCTTTTTGCGAGTTACTCCAGTCAAGGGGAAGGGACTCCAGGATTTGTATTGATTGTGTAATTCATTTGTACGAAGGGGAAGGGGACAAGAGAAAGATGTTAATTAAAAGAGAAGAAGTTTATAAAGATTGTACAGTACAAACTGTATGCTATAGTCTGACAAAGAGTGTATTAGAGTGACAAAATTGTGAATGATAGTGATCAGAAAGGCAAAATTTGATCACAAAAACAATGGATTTAGTAATTACCAGGTATGTTTTAATTAAAAGTTGGCAAGTGAGCTGCTCAGTGTTGCTGATTAAAACAGTATTTCATCACATTTTATTGGAAATTTACTTGGATTAAATAAAATGGTGATTTTGTAATGGATAAAGTGGAAAGTATTTGCCATTTCCATTATTTCAACTTAACATTTAATGAGTATATTGCCAAATTTTTATAATAACACACGAATAGTTGCAGCAGGGTTCTTTACCTGGTTGTTACACCCCAGGATGGTGTTTTTTCAAGTAATTTACAGATATGAGAAACAAGATTAAATAATGCAGAGGTCAGGTACCTACAGGAATGCATCTATGGTTAACCTCAGACCCACAAACTCAGTGTTTTCTTTAGGCCCACCACCTCAGAATTGATAGCTTGTGGGTGTGTTGGCTAAATCTCTCATAGTTGCTGGGCACCATGAGCCAGTCCCATCTTCAGCACTCTGGCAACCTTATCACTATGTCTGGCAATGTCTGCATCAAAAATAATAGGATGGCAAGCCTTGACAACACCTCCTGTTCACGTGGGTAATGATTGAACGGATAATCAGTTTCCTACAAAACCATGGCATCAACAACCTGAGTTTCACATATCTACTCCAGATTTCAGTGACTTTGTAGATATGTGTCAGCTTCAATTTGATCTCCTATGAGAACATTAGCTACAAGCAGAAATTTGGCCTAACAGTTAGGTTACCTGTGCTAGCCAACCTTTACCTAGAACACTTGGTAAAGGACCATTTTAGTAGCATCATTCCACACCACATCATTTGATTAAAATACATTGACGATGTGTTAGTTGTTGTAAACAGGTAATTTTAATTTGCAGAACTTCCTTAAACAACTACACCAGGTGGGCTCTTTCATATGGTGTACCTTAGAGGAGGAGGTTAACGATGCCCTTCCCTTCCTAAGAAGGGAAAAAAAAGAGCTTGTCAGACAAACTGACATCTTGAAGTGGACAGTATACCGGAAACCAACTGTCAAGGTTAATGTAGTTCACTTTTTTTTCCCTCATGATCTGAGGGCTATAAAAAAAAAAAGTGTTAATCAGATTTTTCCTCTGGACACTTGGAGTCTGCAGTGACAAATTCTGTAAAGTGAACAAAACTATGAAGAGAGCTGGCTCTCCAACTTCAGATTTATTCAACACTTGAGCCTCCATTGCAGGTAAAGAACAGATATGATACACTACAACACCAAAAACCAGGACAACACCATTTAGAGGTATGTACACTGATGGGTCACAGTCACAGTATTTCTCATGCTACAGAAGTCTATTATAGATGTCACAGTGGTCATTTACTGCTAAGACCGTATGAGATTATGAGGACTTCTAGGCCACACGTTCAACCCAGGAATGCAGGAGACTACAGAATTCTGCAGAGGAGAAATGGCTGGAAGCTTGCCTATTCTTCTACATGAATACGTGTGCCTACAGAATGCACAGCGTCAGTAATGCAAGTTTTTAGCCCCATAACTCCAACTTCAGTGATGTGAGCTTTTCTAAAAAATGATAACATTGACTGTAGATGCTTGGAATTGTCTGCAATAAAGCTTAAAAACACCATCAAACAAAACAATGGCATGTTCACTTTAGCAACCCCTATAGCTTGAATTGTTCTAACAAAGAAAACTTAATATGGGCTGGTAGGCCACTTTCTGTACCTCACTTAAACTTTTACACATTTGACTTTTCTTTTACACCTGACCTCTGCACTATATAAGCTATTAGTTTCTTGTGTCTATTACATACTTGAAGAGGCCCACCTAGTGATGGGCTTCTTCAAGTACCAATAAAGGATTCTGCTGCAACTAGTGTCCTTGTTTTTTCCTTTGTTACTATTTGTCAGCGTCCTCCAGTTTCCAAAATGAATAATTTCAGTATGGAACATAGCATTGTGGTGCTAAAGTTTTTTCTATGGGTATGAAGCATGGGTTTTGAATGTTACAATGAGGAGAAGGCTGAAGGCAGTAGAGATGCATTTGAAACCAATGTATGGTGTTAATATTGTGCTCAGAATACATAATGAAAAACTAGATGATGTGGCAATATGAAAAGAATTAGTGATGAATTTTGCAATCTCATATTTTCCTTGTGTTTTATACTGTACATGTACTCATATACTTTTGCCTGTTTGTTCAGCAAGTTTTGGTTGAAACTGCATCCACGTATATTATGTGAAGAGTTTCTAAATGTTTGGCTTAGAACCTTTCAAGAACGCAGGGATGGGTGTGATTGACCATAGTTATTAGAAACTTGTTACAGTGGAACCTCAGTTTTCAAATTTAATTCATTCCAGATGTCGATTCGATAATCAAAATCAACGACAACCACAGCAGTTTTCCCATGAAGAATAACGTAAATAGAATTAATCCGTTCCAGACTCCAGATGACAATATAATAATTGTACTAACTACTACAAAAAAAGAGTCACCTTCTATTAATATGTCAGGCAACTGTCCTTCTGGTGTTGTTTCTCTTTTGTCTCCTTTCACCACTAACACCTTGTTCTGGTTCACTTGTTCTTTTGTCTCACTACAAACCTGTCCAGTTAGGTTTGTTTCAGGCTCCATTTTAACTCTTGTCTAAATTAAGACATTACACTGTCATTGTACATGTTAGAGAGATGGATGGCCACTGCTTTGTCTGGATGCTGTTTTTCAGCAAACTCCTGCACTTCATGCCATTTAGCACACATTTCCTTGACAAGTGCTTTATCAACCACGTGGAGCCGATCTTCTTCATACTTTGTAATAACCTCTTTTTTTAAACTCAGCAGTGCTTTTTACAACTTTTCTCTTTGCTTTCATCTCTTTATCCTTCTTTGGATCCCATGATGGCTTATCTCAATTAAAAAAATTGCACCAAAGCTGGTAAATAACAAAGAAAGATCGCAAAATGCACAAAAAAAGCTCAAATGTTTACAGCATGCAAGTTAGTGGCTATACTGACTAATACCCACGTTCTCAACCCATTGTCCAGTGTGCATTCCGTGAGTACGTGACCTGAGCTGCTTTGTCCCATTCCATACATGCGAAAACTTGTCCGTCGACAACCAAGAGAACGTGAAAAGCAGTACAATTTTTTCTCGAACACCTTATTTGAAAACCAATTTATTCAACAAGTAATGCAGTTAAAAACTGAGGTTCTACATATGTGGAATTTAAAGTTTTAATGGACTAAAGATTTATGCTTCATTTTGATAATATGCATATGTAATTACTGTCTGAATTTTTTTACTTTTCAGTCATTATTCATGATGCTGCTGCTGCTTTTAGCCAAAGGTTGGGCCATTACTCGTATGATGCTGTCCCATCGCCTTTTACTCTTCTTACTGTGGGGGCTTTACTCCATTCTCATACTCACACTCTACTTTTGGAATATGGTGAGGAGGCAAACTCAATTACTGTACTTCAATTTTTGAACTGCCATTAATATTATGTTTAACCTCAGAACTTAGCAATTTTTTTTTTTTTTCTGTTTGGAAGAATGAAAATCTTGGAACAGGAGAGAATGCACTGAGTATCTTTGCCACAGCATAGTTTCGGTGGAACATCTCCATATTCTCAGTATACTGAGAGCAAGATCTTTGCAGACTTCCTTCATTGTGTACTGTATATAATCCAAAGAATATTTCTTGTAAAAGTTATAAAAATCTTATACATATGTTTCTTCTTTCAACAAACCGGTCACATCCCACCAAGGCAGGGTGGCCCAAAAAGAAAAACGAAAATTTCTCTTTTTTAAATTTAGTAATATATACAGGAGAAGGGGTTACTAGCCCCTTGCTCCCAGCATTTTAGTCACCTTACTGACATGCATGGCTCATGGAGGAGGAATTCTGTTCCACTTTACCATGGAGATTTTTGGGTGTTGTAAAGTAAAAATTTTATACATGTGGATGAGAGGAAGGATATCATTTACCATATATGTGTATAGACCAGCATTGTAGCTAATAGAATCTAAGGTATAATTTAAAATCTCTATATGAGCTTTTCTTTTCATTGATTCAGTGGTGGCAAGTGTTATTCACTGACTTCCTATTCCCTGACTTCCTATTCCCTGAGCCTCTAAAAATATAACATCATTGAATAACATTTCACTGTTCACAATGTATAGGCATAATGCTGTCAGATACAGTTATGAAAACAGTAATGACATGATAAAGCTCTTACCCTTAGTGAAATGTTGTCTCAATAAAAGCTTCTACTGCATATTGTTTTCATACCCATTTCACTGCTCAGTAACTTAAAATCAAGTACAGTACTGTATTGAAGTCATACCTGCTAGCTTCTCTCACTTTCTCTTTCACTTTTGAATGTGAATAGTCTATTTATTTTCCTAGAATTGTATAAAAATAATTTATTACTCTTTAAAATTAGCTTTTGTATCTATATTTACTGTATATGAGTTTTTAATATAATTTGGTTAAAACACACTGAGTCATTTTCCCAGCTTTATCCCATGAATAAACTTTGGCAGTTCAAAATGGAGCGTGGCAATTTTCATGGGATCCTCTAGAAAGTCAAGAAAAGGAACTGTATTTAATCTTAAGATCTTTACTTATTTTGATGAATAAAGAAAGTTCATATCTCTGCAGATGGAGGTTGATGTAATAGAGGATATAGATGAGTACCAGACGTGGCCAGGATGGTTGACTCTGGCATTGCGGGTGCTCATCATGGTGTGGTTTCTGTTTGAGCTGCGCAACACCATGACATACGAGCACAATTCGAACAAGCTCCATTTCTTTCTGCACTTTGGTGCTGCCTCCCTTGTGTGGTTTATATACCTGCCAGTGGTAGCACTCATTGCCCTCCAAATTTCTCCTCTGTGGAGATATAAATTATTGTTGGGTAAGTGTTTTTAATCATCATTAGTGTCATCCTCACAGCTGTTCATCCCAGCCTTTGACTCCATGAGTTTTGTTTGCAAATTTTTGTGAAGTGTGTCAAATTTACTCTATTAGTATCCTGTGCTATATCAGTAAATGAATGGAATCCAAATGTTGACTTACACTGCCCAGTAGACATAGAGTACTGTCTCACTTTTGTCATTTGGAGAAACATGATGTATATTTAGCTTAAACTACACTTTTTTACGGCTTATCCTCAGCTTTCTATTCTTCAAGCACTGTCTTTCACTCTTATTGCTTCTCTTATTAGTCATTGGCATGGAAAACAACTGTAGACTTACAGTCTGAGTAGATATATTAGAATTAATATACTATAACAACAAAATGGGAATTGACACAGTTACTTTTTGCTGATGATACTGTGCTTATGGGAGATTCTAAAGAAAAATTGCAAAGGTTAGTGGATGAGTTTGGGAGTGTGTGTAAAGGTAGAAAGTTGAAAGTGAACATAGAAAAGAGTAAGGTGATAAGGGTATCAAATGATTTAGATAAAGAAAAATTGGATATCAAATTGGGGAGGAGGAATATGGAAGAAGTGAATGTTTTCAGATACTTGGGAGTTGACGTGTCGGCGGATGGATTTATGAAGGATGAGGTTAATCATAGAATTGTTGAGGGGAAAAAAGGTGAGTAGTATGTTGAGGTATATGTGGAGACAAAAAACGTTATCTATGGAGGCAAAGAAGGGAATGTATGAAAGTATAGTAGTACCAACACTCTTATATGGGTGTGAAGCTTGGGTTGTGAATGCAGCAGTGAGGAGGCAGTGGAGATGTCCTGTCTAAGGGCAATGTGTGGTGTAAATATTATGCAGAAAATTCAGAGTGTGGAAATTAGGAGAGGGTGTAGAGTTAATAAAAGTATTAGTCAGAGGGCTGAAGAGGGGTTGTTGAGGTGGTTTGGTCATTTAGAGAGAATGGATCAAAGTAGAATGACATGGAGAGCGTATAAACCTGTAGGAGAAGGAAGGCGGGGTAGGGGTCGTCCTCGAAAAGGTTGGAAGGAAGGGGTAAGGGAGGTTTTGTGGGCGAGGGGCTTGGACTTCCAGCAGGCGTGCATGAGCGTGTTCGATAGGAGTGAATGGAGACAAATGGTATTTGGGACCTGACGATATGTTGGAGTATAAATTGGTATATATGTTGGAGTATACAGTGGACCCCCGGTTAACGATATTTTTTCATTCCATAAGTATGTTCAGGTGCCAGTACTGACCGAATTTATTCCCATAAGGAATATTGTGAAGTAGATTAGTCCATTTCAGACCCCCAAACATACAAGTACAAACGCACTTACATAAATACACTTACATAATTGGTCGCATTCGGAGGTAATCGTTATGCGGGGGTCCACTGTATATTGGTATAAATTTGTTTTAACTGAAAATTAAATCATTTTTATTTAGCTTTTCTAGTTGGATGAATTTTAAAATTATAGTTGTGAGAACATTAATAACAGTGTGCTTATTAGTTGGGCTCTTGATCCAAGGAATTGAAATTGCCTTGATAAATTAGACATACGTGCAACATTTGGGTATCTTTAATGAGGAAATGTTTTGCCACACAGTGGCTTCATCAGTCCATACAAAGGAGAATGGTGAAGAACAGGAGGAGTTTGAGGTAATCAGTCCCTCAGCCTTGAGTCGATGTGGTCAGTCCATCAATCTTGGAATTACGTTACCCTTTTAAAATGCCTGTTTACTGTACCTAACATTGCTAAGTTGCTGTATAATGCTAGTAGAGTTAGTGCTTTCTCATGTAGATTACTATGATAATGATTATTTTCTGCTTTTCAGGTTTTACTTATTCGGCCGATTTATTGGCCCATTCCTTTATGACTTACATGCTGTGGCCAGAGAGGTCTGAGCAGTATCTTCTGCTGGCATATGAGGCCGACCTCTCCAATGAGTTAGACGAGTTCAACGAAGCTCCACATATCATCAATCACTCAGATTCAGCCCTTCTCACCCCAATGTATGATTGTGACACAGAACCTCTCAAGATTAACGCATGAACATTTTATAAAATACAGGTGCCAAAGAACTTAGCAATGTTTTTTATCCACTGGAAATCTGTCGTTTCTTTTGTGTCTGAGGTAAAGCAAATAAATATTGTATTATGGTTATTTTCCCAGCTGCTCACTTAAGCACTATAGGAGAAGCAGTAGGGTAGTGTATAACAAGGAACGACATCTTTGTGCTGTTTCCTTTCCTTCCGGATAATTCACTTTGGGTAAATTCAAATGCTAGTCCCATTTAACAATACTGTGGCATATTCTCAGACTTTTGCATTATACTGTATGTCATAGCTTTCAACATTACATCTAAATTTTCTAACATTCTTTCCAAATAGAGACTTTAGCAAATGGATGACCTTTCTTGGTTGTACTTTGGGACCTGACGATCTGTTGGAGTGTGAGCAGGGTAATATTTAGTGAAGGGATTCAGGGAAACTGGTTATTTTTATATAGCTGGACTTGAGTCCTGGAAATGGGAAATACAATGCCTGCACTCTAAAGGAGGGGTTCGGGATATTAGCAGTTTGGAGGGATATGTCATGTATCTTTATACGTATATGCTTCTAAACTGTTGTGTTCTTTCCTTCCGGATAATTCACTTTGGGTAAATTCAAATGCTAGTCCCATTTAACAATACTGTGGCATATTCTCAGACTTTTGCATTATACTGTATGTCATAGCTTTCAACATTACATCTAAATTTTCTAACATTCTTTCCAAATAGAGACTTCAGCAAATGAATGACCTTTCTTAGTTGTACTTTGGAGAAAGCCATGAAGTTCAGACACTTGAATTAACAGATTTGTTGAATAGAGATCATTCATAGCAATGGCTTCATTGTAAGATCCAGTTGAGAAAGAAATTCATAAGTGAGTATTCTCCAGGTATGCTGGGAGGCTATTATGTTGCTATAAATCCTAGTATAGTTATGAGATGCCAGTTACCAACAGGTTAGCAACTATAGCTTTGCAGTTACAGTAGACCCTTACATTACATGGATTTATTTGGCACATTTTGGTTATTACACTATTGAAAAATTGTGGCATAATTTTAAACAACACTTCGTAAAATTAACTTAACACAGTTTAGTTTGCGGGAGGGGAAAAAATTTGGAGCATTGCCCACAGGATATTTCCCTAGCTCAGGCCACCGCCTTGCTGTGGGTGAGACCACTGTCTCCACGGGGAAACATGCCACCATCCCCTGCCACCCCCGTCCCATCCCAGCCTTCCACTCATACACGTCTAGGAGCTGGCTGTGTTTAGAGTGTGTTTTGATATTTTAATTGCCATATCTTGTATCTGCCAAGCAATCATGGCACCCAGTAGACACACAAGTGTTGCTGAAAGTGGCAAGAAAAGAGTTAAGCATTTAAGTCTTGGAGTTACAAAGAAAACTGAGATATTAGACAAGCTTATGAGTGGCTCACGTGTAGTGGATATAGCAAGAGCCTATGCCTTTAATGAAGCATCAGTTTGTACAGGTAAATATATGAGTTTGTGTGAATAACTGACCAACTGACTTGAATGACTTGACTTGCCTTACTGGACTAATTTGACTTACTGACTTGGCTGATTTACTGACTGACTGACTTGACTGATTTACTGACTGACTGACTTACTGACTTAAAGTTAGACTTTTTCACTGAAGAGGACCTTGACAAATCTAGAAGCAGTGCTCTGAAACAGTGTCTAGAGCAGCTGATGCCTTACTGTCAGCTGTGTAATGTACTGCAGGGTAAAATAGCCAGGAAATCCATTACAGAATTTATGCACACTCCAGTACAAACATCAACTTCAGTACCAGAACCTCTACCATCCACCTCAGCCCAGTAGAGCTACAACATAACCCTCCACTCTTTGCAATCATTGACAAACACTAGCACCTACAATTTTAGGTAAGAGATACTATTATTTCTGTTGCATTTGTAGTATCTTAAGCAGTAAAAACAACATAATACATCACGACAATGAACAACAATTACATATTCACTTTCATTTGTGTAAGATCTGGAGGTCTAAAAAATGTTTGCTTTTTTGGGGCTCCCAGGAACGTAACCCCATTTTTCCTGCAAGTTCTTCAGTTTATCTAACACAGCATTTTCAGGAACGTAACTACCATGTAATATAAGGGTCTAGTGTGTATCATTCACAGGTTTCTCTTGAATCTCTTCTTTTTTCTTCCCTTTTTCATTTTCCTCCTTTTTTTCCTTTCTCATCACTTCCTCTTTTCCTCCTGTTAGTAGTCTTCCCCTTCTTCCTCCTATATCTCTTTCTTCCTTTCCCCTTTTTTTCTTCTCTTTACTGCTTCATATGGAGCTTTATCAGTGATTGCACTTCTTTGTCTCATTATCTATCATTATAAAAACTAGAGGAACTTATTTGGGTAACATACAGACTCATCCTTATGCAACATGAGCCAATAATACAAAATAATTATTTAGAGGTGAGTGGAACCTGAATGAGTAGGGTAACTGGGTGAAAAGACATGAAATGGTAATAATATAAACCTGAGAATGTGTGAATAGCTTTTAGATGGGACTGCATCATTATGTACCAAACATTAATATAGGATCACTTTCAATTAATGTTTGAATATTATTCAGAAATGATTAATAATTTTATCTGTACAAAAGTAATAGGCAAACGAGTCTTTCCCAATTATTAGTACATTTTTATAAAGGGGAAGCAGGGCACAAATTTTGCTGTAATTATTTTTATTACAAATTTGTACAAAATATTTAATTTTAGAAAATAGTATATCTATTTAACACAGAATCACTTTTAAATACTGCAGCATGACTACAAAAGAAATCCAAGGTGAAGCTAAGAAAAGTGGGGAGTAAGAAGTAAGTGAAGCTGCTGAAGGAATATGGTGGTTTGTGCATGATAAACTGGAATACATAAAGTATTGACATAAGGAGGATTGAAGTGAGAGAAGGCTTAAATATGAAGAGTGTGTTTGGCAAGAAGTAGCTGATTGGACATATGTAAATTCCTATTCAAAGTTGTAAGATGTGCAAAGACCTTGAATTTTTTTTAAAGCACTGACTGTTTCCCACCAAGGCAGGGTGACCTAGGGAAGGAAAACAAATTTCCCATCACTTGTTCCCTAGCTGGGTAGGATGAGTTGATAATGCCTTTCCATATACTTGGTTTATATCACAATCAAGAACTCATAATCTGGGAAGCAAATTAGAGAGCCATACAGAAAAAAAAATGAGAAATGTGGTGTACAATAAAGGAACATTTTGTAGTACAGTATTTTATGTAGCATTATGTAACATTTATCAGAGCTGCCCCTCTCGGTATGTATTCAGTATATTGTTGCTGCACATTATCCTGTAATCATTAAATACATGTTTATAGTTGTTTAGTCTCCCACCCTTTAGATTTGTACATTTGATTCCTCTGTGATTTATTGTAATAAATAGTGAGTCAGTGGTCATATGAAAAGATGTTAATCACTTATTCAGAGTTATTAAAACGAAATATGTTAATCATTTTGGCATCAGAAATATATTTACAGTATACCATAGTTCTTATTAAGTTCAGTATGAAAAGACAGAAATCATAGTTTGTTAGTAAAAGAATGCTGTTTTAGTATTAGGAGTGAATTGACCTTAGTCGTGTAGCCATGCTTAAGTGCAGTATTTTGTACATTAGTCTTATCATTTTTATCAAGAAGACATGAAATATAGTATTAAAATGCAATTATGTAAGCTCATTTACATTGCTCATTTCTTAAGATTTATCCTAATAACTTTTATATGAATTAATGGTGCTCCAGCTATTGAACACAAACTTGTGTAGATGCACAGCATCTAATATAATTATTTCACATATAGTAGAGCCTTACTTAGCATGGCATATCAGTTTTCAAAAATTACTGCACAGCCTTAACACCCACAGTATGAACTCTAAAATAAAGGGTTGGGTTTGAAACTTTTTTAAAGTTAATGACTCAAAAAAAAAAATTTGACAATTTTTAAGTTTAGAAATTATACATCTTACTTGCCCTCCAGTAGCCAAGTTAAGTTAGGCAGTGTGACTGATTCCATCCCGTGCTGCTATGACTTATTAATGTGCTTGCAATGTTCAAAATATTCCTTTGTTAGTTACTTTTCAACTTTTATCTTGATGATCTGCAGACATCATACTGTACTGATAATTTCTGTTATCACTTTCACTACCAGATGAAGCAGAAATTTCTGTGACTTCCACATACATGCTAAATGTTCAAATGTTTAAAGATGCCACCTTGTGCTGCCAGGTGAGAGACTGTTATGGGAAATCCTCAAGGATCCTCACAGCACCAGTCTTATTGAGCTGCAGGTAAAACTACTAATCCATTATCGAATCACTTTAACTTGTAGTATATACCCAATTCTTTAAATAGCACACTTATCCTAAATGGATGAATGTTTAACCGTCATTGTCTTGATATATCAAGGTAAATATTGGCTATTTTGAAGCTAAGCATCGATTTTCTCCATCAGTGTCATATTTTCACTTTACTGCCTCCTCTTGACTTCTAGTGTTACATTAAGCAAGTTTTTAATTAGGATTTTCATACATAACATACAAGAACAAATTTTACAGTGGTCTTAATGGCATACATATTATAGGCACATAAAAGTACATTATATATATTTAACCTAGGATTACCACATAAAATCATTACAAGTGATCCTCTTGAGTGCCATGGTTAATGTGTAACAACAAAGGACACAAAATTTCAAAAAAAAAAAAATTATGTTAGCTGACTCACTGAGATAGCTGATTGATGTTGGGTGGAAGGGTTGTCAAGACCCAACCCACGTACGTGTGTGAACGGTTCAGGCAGCCATCAGACTCATGGTTGAATTTTTCATATTTTCATTGGTGCTGACTCCTCAGGGGAGGTTACTTGTTGCTAGTAAGGGGCTCTTGATTCAAGAAATTGGACATCTCTTCCTCTTCCTTAGACTGAACCTGATTACTTCCCATTCACCAGATCTGAATAGCCAGGGGTTTGAGCTCCCTTAAATACAAATTCAGTACAACTTTTTACAAAGTATTTTTGGGCTAATAAAAATTTTTGGTTCCTCATAAACCATATAAAATAGGGGTTGAGAGGAGACCATTAGGTTTAATTGTTTTTTTCTTGCATTTTAGCAGTGGAATATTCTGCTTTTCAGAAAAGGAGGTATGGATTTTGTTTCCCTGCAAGGATTTTTCATTTGAAAACCTTACTCTCAAATACACATAACCAAAGCAAATAAAATTTTTTGCCCCAAAAAAATACCCTTTTTTTGCAGAAGAGTTAAAAGGAAAAAGCCCCGCTTTTAAATGGGGACCTGATTTTTTCAAAAATTTTGCCAAAGACTTTGCCTCAAAAAAAAAAAAAATAAAGGGCATACAGTGAGATTGCAAGTAATTTTCTTGCCAGCATTTTGCTTTAAGTTTTATGATAGTTTAACAGAGGTCTTTATTTAAAAAAAAAATGGGAAAAGGGCTTTAATAACATATGTAACCATAAATAGTATCAGGGGATTTATTAATTAAAATAAGTACTTTAAAAGCCTGCATACAGGAGGGCCCCACTTATACAGCAGGTTAGGTCTGGGCTACTGCTCTAAAGTGAATCATAACCTTTCACTTTCAAATGCATATAAAAGCCCGATAACACTATCATATATTAGCAATAGAGCTAGGCCTAAAAAAATGCACATAAAGTACACACATTACTTACCTTAAAATATTTTCATCCTTTGCTTATAGTGAGTGGTGAATATATTTATTGTAGGCAGTCTAAATAAATAGTGTCAGTATAATTGAAAACCGTTGTAAAGCGAACTGCTGTAAAGTGAAGCGATGTAAAGCAGGGCCTGCCTGTATATAATTGCTTATAAAATAATCATAAATTATTATTATTTTTGTTAAAGCCCTTGGTTTACCTGTGTACTGGTCTGCCCACTGCACTGCTGGCTGGTGCTATGTAAACCTAGCTGTATTCTCCTACTCTGTTGCTCTTAATGAATTCTAGGTGATATGTTGAATAGGTTAAAGAGTCTGTTCTGCGGTTGGTTTTCCTCTCCACGTTTTACCCAATCGCCTCTGTACTCTTGATTCAATAATAAAAAAGATTTAAAATTAGGATATTTGAGTTGGTTTGGCAAATGTATACTCATAACAGTTTGAATTTCCTTGATATAGGAAGTCTTGAAGCATTTAATTAAACTCTGTGATGGCCATATATATTAGCATATTGGGCAACAGTTAAATTAATAGTTGTTTAAAGTATATTCATTATCATTTATGTGCAATGAGAGTTATATTTTGTTACTGTATTAAGATTATGTATATTTTAGTAGTATAGAATGCTGTCATTGATTTTTTTTTTTTATGTAAAGTGATGTCATTTAATTACAAGTTGATACCGGGACTGTTATTTTTAGTTATAGATGTATATTATCACTCAAGGTTAGCTAAAAGCAGTGATATATTTAATCAGTGCATTGCAGTGCATTTATTTCAAAAGTCACTGGTAAATGACTTGAAATACCACTTTTATTCACCCATGACACTGGGTGAATAAAGGTGGATGGAACAATTCACAATAGAGAGAGGAAACTTCAGATGACATGTCCATCCTGGACTTGATGAATGGTCCAGGATGAACTGAAACAGTGCTTAAAGTTCCTTCAAATTGTGGGTTAGTTTGGAACACTCTGGTGCAACTACTCTGATTGAAGAGTTAGATACATGCAACATCTGGGTATCTTTACTTGTAGATGTTTTGCCATCCAGTGGCTTTATCAGTACAATACTTGGACATAATCTGATGACTGTAGAAATATACAGAAGACAATGGAAGATGAGGTAATCAGCCCTTAAGCCTAGGAACAGGTGATGAGCACCATGGTCTTGATGTTGCACTTGTCTATTTCTTCATCTTGTCAGTGTTGTATACCATTGATACACAGGTCGGCCATCACTAATCCGGCATCATTGTTACCTGTAGTGTGCTGGATTACAGTGTGGTTAGGTTAGAATACACTTAATTAACCTATCAATGGGCTCTCTGCTACATCTTCCTCATTTTCTTCACTGCTTTCTCCTCTACTGGTTTACTGCTGTGGATTTACTACCATCTGCACAATTTCTGAGTCAATATAATGATGAAATTTGAGTCAGTATAATGATTTGACTCATTATAATGATGAAATTTGAAATTATGCTAGCCAAAATTAGTGCCGGATTACTGATGGAACCGGGTAACTGATTGCCAGATTAGTGATGGCCGACCTGTATAACTACACTGATTGTATATCACTTCTATAAAGTGTAAATAAGTAGTGCAGTGAATCCTTCATACTCTCAAAATATTTAGATATCCATACATATATAGTTGCAGTATTAAACTAGTAAAATCCATAGTTCTGTATACATTTTTGTTTTATCCCATAAAATATTCTTAGTAATTTTCCTCAAAAGGGAAATTATTTTTATTTTTTTATCTTGGAAATAAGAATGTGACCTCAGAGACAAGCTTTACAAAGTGATCATAAAATGTACATCAAGCAATTGACTCTTGGGATATTAATTTGGGTGATGAGAATTAATATGCAGAAAATACTGCATGTTATAGTCTAAATATTGGATGAGGGGGAAGGGGTTAAATTTTTATATAGGATAAAATTTGTAATTATCATAGATTGTGCAATACCTGGTAGGAAGCTGAAATGGGATGTTCCCAAACACTACATTGTTTTGTTGAAAAATTATTTAATGTATGAAAGAAATGGAAGTTATTTCAAGAAGTGAACTGTTCAATTTGAAATTGGTTTTAATCATCAAAACTTTATGCACTTTTTCTTACCAATGAACATAATTTTTATTTTTCAATTATTTTAAGTATAAATTTTTATGCTGAAAAGTGGTTTCCACTTCAGTATAATAGCGGTGCACTAAGTGTGGGGACCGTTTCGTAATGTGGTGAAGGTTCATTTCATAAAACTGACATCCAGCTGTTTTATAATATTTTTCAGTATTACCTTAAAAGCATCTTGAAATCTTGCATGTCTTCTGTTGAGCCATTTCTTGAACTGGTATCATTTTGTAGGTGCAAGTGCTGTGTGGTGTCAGTAGTCAGTATCTACCACATTTCTCACCAACAAAAGATTGATTGATTAATATATTGCATCTGTATATTTTGGTAATATACTGTACTGTTTTACATATATTGAAAGTACTGAAGTGTGAATGAAATTCAGTATAGTAGTACGTAAATATAATCACAAATCTTGTAAAGAGAGGTACAGTATTGCTCTTTGTTAATGAGTGAGAAGCATCTTAGTTTTAAAATTGTTCTCCCTAGTTTATTAATTTGAAAAGAGAAATATGGCTACTAGTTTTACAGAGTGTGGTTATTTAAATACTTTATTGTTTTGGCATCTCAACAAGTTAAGGCAAAAGTCAGTGTCAAGGATAAAAGTGTATGGTAGTAATAATAGGGTAGACCCTATTTACGTGTGTGACAAGTGGCCAGACACTTGAGTTTACCATAGACCTAAATTTTCTCTACACATTTTTGAATATTGTGCATACCATTAGTTGTGTTAATATTAGACAATGGTTGTATAGGAAACAAAATCATTTTTTTTTTAATTATATGATGTTAAATATGAAATGTCAAAGATAATCCTGGACATTGTGCTTTCAAAAAAGTTCCTTGGTAGCTTACCTTGCGTACAATACTCACCATCCAAATATATTTTTTATCACATTGGCCGTCTCTCCCCAAATATATGGTTACATAAATGTATTAAAAGAGAAGATGCCCATGTCTTAATTTTTCTTAATGAACCCATTTGAGTCTAGATTAAACATGTGATGTTAATTTTATAGTTAATTGTAGTTTGCCAGTGTTGTGATTAGTATTAGAA